ACAAAGGAAGTATGGGAGGCCTCTGAGTGCATGATGGGGAGGAGAAGTGCTTGAGCCCACGTTCTGCTGTTTAATGTCAAACCTCCCTGAGCCAAGAGCTCTCCCATCAGACAGGATGGAGTCCAGTTCTAAGCTGTGCAGAGTGCAAAGCTGCTACCTGTACTAATGCAGAAAAGATCCATCTTTTCAGAGATGCCTCATCAAAAATCATTTTCATTCGCTCCTACAGGGATATTTGTCATATTCTAAAGTCCTTTGTCTGCTTTACAGAAACAAAAATTATCGGCACATTGACACTAACAGATCAACATTTCAGCTGTGGATAAAAACCGACAATTAAACATGTTCACCACCGCCAATAAAGGCCTTTTAAAGAACAAGCTGATTTTGAAATGAAATCTTGAGTCTGATACCGACACATTACAGCCCTACATTTACAATCTCTCATAACTTAACCATCTAAGAAAACAAAAGTTAAACGCTGGTAAAATCATTTATAACAAGACATAGTGAAAAATTCAGACTTTTGAAGTCAAGCAGACATAGGCTGTGGGCCTGTAAAGAATCAAGGGAGTGGAGAGCAATTTAGAATTTCCACCTCACTTCCCAGAATCCCTCCCCCCCCCCACTCCATCTGCTCTCTGGGGCATGAGCAAGCTGATCCCTCCCCCCATGCACATTTTTCACCAGAAGTGATAGCCAGGGCTATTTTTGGGCAGGAACGCACAGGAACGGCGTTCCGGCTGGCTCCCAAGTTGGCCACGCCCAGCAGGAACTCATTAGCATAATAGGCCACACCCAACAACAGACACTCATTAGCATATCCAGCCACACCCATGAGAGCATAGCTTATTAGCATATTAGGCCACACCCCCATGTTACCAGAAGTGTGGTCATCCAGCCACACCCACCTTTTGCTTCTTATTCTGTTGACCTTGTTTGTTGTCAAAACCCAGGGCCTTTTTTTTGTAGCAGGAACTCCTTTGCATGTTAGGCCACACCCCTAATGTAGCCAATCCTAATGAGTTTCTGCTATTGGGTGTGGCCTATTATGCTAATGAGTTCCTGCTGGGCTTTTTCTACAAAAAAAGCCCTGCTGATAGCTACTGGTAACATTCTGTCCCCATTTTTAGCTGCTGTTTTTTTGGGATTCCCCCTTTGGGGCTGGCTTACAAAGTGATATTTTCCTACATATGTGAAGAATTCCCCAGCAGAGACACCCGCATCTTCTGCAGGTGGCCCAGTTTGGCAGCTTTTGCCTGACACATGGAGCCAAGGCAGCTTAATGTTCGATTCAGTGGTACCTTCAAGGGTGTGCAGGCCCAGTACAGGGAGGAAACAATGCTGAACCTGCTGACGTCACCTCACCCCACATTTGTACACCTACAAGTGGGAACCCCCAAGGACTTGTGGGAGGCATCTCACTCCCCCCTCTCCCACTATTTCCTCTCCCCTTTTCCTGCTTCCAACTCTCCTTGAATAGGGTGGCCAGCCTCCAGGTGGGACTGGAGATCTTCCCTTAGGGAAACAAGACTGGGAAATCCCTGGAGTTTTGGAGGTGGAGCCTTGGGTGGGCGAGGTTTGGGGAGGTAAGCAACCTCATCAGAATATAATAAAGTCCACCCTCCAAAGCAGCCATTTTTTCCAGGGGAACTTCTCTCTGTCAACTGGAAAGCAGTTGTAATTCTGGGTGATCTCCAGCCCCCACCTGGAGGTTAGCAACTCTAGTCCCTGGAGGAAATGGATGCTTTGAAGGGTGGCGTCTATGGCATTATACTCCTCTGAGATCCCTTCCCTCCTCAAGCCCCACCCTCCCCAGGCTCCTCCCCAAATTTCTAGAAATTCCCTAACCTCTTTTCCTCCTCTGGCAATCCCCATATTCTCTCCCTGCCTCACTCTCTCCTTCTTAGCCATTCACCAACCTACCTTTTATCTGCCTCCCATCTTTAGCTATATTTAGCATTTATTTACTTCACTTATATTCCACCTTCCTCCATAGTGGGGACGAAAGTAGCTGACATTATTTTTTCCTCCTTTTTATCCACACAACATCCCTGTGAGGTAGATTATGCTGAAAGTATTATACTGGTCCAAAATCACCCAGTCAGCTTCCACAGCAAGAGTGGGATCTGAACTGGGGTTTTGCAGACCTGAAGCTACAACTGCTAGACCACCAACAGTAGCAAACAGCCAGGCCTACTTAAGTGATGCAAGTCAGGTAGTATCAAGTCACCTAGAAGTTGCTGCCAGGCCTAGGGATTGTCAACCCCCGGGTGGGACCTGGAGATCCCCCAGAATTACAATTGAACTCCAGACATCTGTCCCCCTGGAGAAAACAGCTGCTTTGGAGGGCGGTTTCTGTGGCCCTGGTGAGGCCTCTCCCCTCCCCAAACCCAGCACTCCTCAGACTTCATCACAAAATGTCTAGGGAATTTCCAAACCTGGAGCTGGCAGCTCTATTTATTTATTAGATTTATACCCCGCCCTCCCCAAACAGGCTCAGGGCGGCTGACAACAGAGGCAAATGCCATAACAAAAAGTTAAAACAGCATAAAAACAATCATTAAACAGCATAAAAACAGTCATTAAATAAAGTGCGGTGCTCTTGATGTTAAACCTTCTTAGTCCAAGATGGGTTCCATTTGTCAAGCCTAACCTGACAACATACCCTCTTCGGTCATCTAGGCGTCTGCTCAGGGCTGGCTCTTTTCCAGACCTGGCCCCAATGAGTTCTCCCTCAAAGGTCAAAATAGGGTGGCCTTTTACTGACAGAGCAAGGCTTGGAATGCTGTGGTTGCCTAGCAACAGCCACTAAGTGAATCCATTGCTTAAAGCTACAGGTGCTGCTTTTATCGTTTTTGGATTTTTAAGTTGCCTAGTAAAAAGGTAAAGGTTCCCTTGCTCGAAAGCCAGTCGAATCCGACTCTAAGGTTGCAGTGCTCATCTCCGTTTCAAAGCTGAAGAGCCAGCGCTGTCCGAAGACGTTTCCGTGGTCATGTGGCCGGCATGACTAAACACCAAGGTGCACGGAATGCTGTTACCTTCCCACCGAAGTGGTCCCTATTTATCTACTTGCAATTTCTTGCTTTTGAACTGCTAGGTTGGCAGGAGCTGGAACTAGAGACGAGAGCTCACTCCGTCATGCGGCACCCGGGTCTCGAACTCTGAACTACCAACCTTCCACAGCCTGCAGTTCAGCGTCTTAACCACGTGAGCCACCGCAGCCTAATTTGCCTAGTGTGTCTGTGTATATGTATATATATATTTAGATTTCACATTTTTCTGCAAACCTAGGGTCCTTTTCGGGCTGCAGTTGCTCAGAGGTTAAGACGCTGAGCTGCAGACCGAGAGGTCTATAGTTCGAGACCCTAGTGCCATGTGACGGAGTGAGCTCCCATCTCTGGCCTCAGCTCCTGCCAACCTAGCAATTCGAGAGCAAGAAATTGCAAGTAGATAAATAGGTACAGCTTCGGTGGGAAGGTAACAGCATTCTGTGCATCTCGGCATTTAGTCATGCCGGCCACATGACCACAGCTTGGAAACGGAGATGAGCACCGCCCCCTAGAGTTGGACTCGACTAGCTTTTGAGCAAGGGAAACCTTTACCTTTACTGTCCTTTTCAGGTTTGTAGAAATATCTGTCTTGCCCGTTCACAGCTCCAGTCACCAGATTTAACGATCCAAAGATATCCTAACTTCGCTATTAGCATAAGAGATAGGCTTGAGTAGGGGACCCTGCTTTTTGGTCCTGGTCACAACGGAGCCTAGGCATGTACTGCCGCATGCACCTAGGCTTTGTGCAGATCTTCAGATGAACAGGTGGAAGACAAGCACAGCTGGCCTTCATGTGTTGCACCAACATGTTTTTGAACACTGCTAATACGACATGTTTACATTGAGATCCAGCTTGGTACAGTGGCTGGAATTTCAGACTAGGATCTGGAAGAGTCAGGTTCAAATCTCCCCTCTACCAAGGAAGCTCACTGGGTGGCCTTGGGCCGGTCACTTCTTCCCACACTAACCTGCCTCACAGGGTTTTTGTGAGGATAAAATGAAGAAGGGGACAATGCTGTAAACCACTTTGGGTTCCCATTGTGGAGAAAAGTGGAGCATAAAGTAAATTTAAAAGATCCAATTTTTTAAATTGTGGATTTCTTATTGCCAAGAACCAACAAATATTGCCATTCTGTATCTCTCCAGGGTCAGCCACTAACATATCTTGGAAGAATCTTCTTTCCCTTTATATCCACCAACAATATGAGCTTAGCAATATGCTCCAGTTTGGCCAACCTACCAAAAAAAACCCCATTGTGGATTTACTTTCTGTCTAGTGATCAGATGCTTGGCGTTTGCTTCTTACCAGTTCATGGTACTTATTGCCACTTTAGCATCCTTGAGCACTACAGCAAAAGAACCAAAATCCATGAATTTTACAATTAATCCATCGTTTACAGCAGCTGAGCAATTTAGCATCGCTTCAATGTAGCAACTGCACAGTAACTCAGGATGAAGAAACCACAATCCACTATTTAAACACATCTTTAAAAAAAACACACAAAACCCTTGGCGATCAAAAGCATCATGATTTAAAACTTCACTCCATCTTTAGCTAACCAGGCCTGTTTTAAGTTTTGAGATGAGCCAAACTCAGACATTCCCCCTGCTTGTTGTCCACTTTCTTCGCTAAGAAAATCCATGCTCAAGTTTCTCCCATCCCTCTAAACAGCGTTACAACCCCACCGTCTCGCTTACACGAGGAACTCCGCAGCAGATCAGGATACACGGCCTCCAGCTGCAAAGCTGATCAAGGCTGCTCGGCCACGCCCCGAATCTCATTCATTCATGCATTCATTCATCCACTCACGGTTGTCTCCGAACACGGCACTTGCGAGCTCGCGGGAACTTCGGTTCCCCCCGACAGCTTTCCTGTGCGCCTGCGTGGAGGAAGGCTGACCTAGAGTGCGCCTGCGCACTTCTACTCCCCCCCCCCTCACCCCTTAGTAACAGCGGCGCTTCTAGCCTCCCTCCCACCTGCCGCTCCTTCGTCCCTCAGCGGCTCTTTCTTCGGCCGGCAGCGGCGGCGCCGCCGCCGCCGCCATGCAGGGGGACGACGCCCGTTACCTCAAAAGGTAACGCGCGCCTCTCGGGAAA